CTGATAATCAATTCCTATAATTGTATAGCTGATACTCAAATATTAACAATGCTTAGCAAGATTTACTGCGCTTGCCACGCGATTCAAGACTTATATGTTCAATATTACTTTTGTATTCACTACTGATATTCTCTTTGTTAGACTTTGGATTCATGAATTACAGACTGTTCGTCATTGTAAATACTTTCAATACTGAACAAAGTTTTCCCAGTTTTTTTCATATGATTTTTCTTTTATCGGGTGTCAATCAAGTTTTCTTGTGTCGTTCATTCAGATTTCACATGTTAAATGATTATCTCTTCTAGTTATATTAGGTCAATTCATTTAAGTTTGCTCATATACTTGTTTTTCTTAAATAGTATAGTGGTGAGATAAATTTCAAGATGCAGATTCATAGCAGCCAAAAGATCTTTTTGTTTCCATCAGTTTCTCAAATAATTTAATATTTAAGAATTGATTTTTGTTCAAATATTGTTAAATTTTCCAAATGCAAATTTAACTATCATTTTCAAAGATTTTTGTGTATTGTTTTTCAAGATATCCAATTTTTTTGAATTATCCCTTTTCATTAAACAAGTTATCTCAATTTGTTTTTATAAATTGAATATATGTATATATTTTATTATTAAGTTGTTTTTTCTGCTTTGGCATTGATTTGCTGCCAGCTGATTATTGAGCCCATCTGTCATAAAGAGGTTTTATATATTCAAGGATAACTTGTCAATTTGCTGCCTTATACTTGATCTCTTTTATTTTTAACATTGAATACTGATTTTTTTCTCCTTTTTCCTCACTTCAGATTGTTGTCATTATGCTCAGAAGTCATCCTATTACTTGCTCCTCCAATAAGAATCCATTGAAAATTATAGTCAACTACTTGAAAGAACATGCCAATATTTGCAAAGATGTTTGTGCAGATCAGAACAAAATAATCTTCTCTTGGAACAAAAGTTGGAAACAGTTTTGGAGGAAATAACTACACTTAAAGAAGAATGCACCAATCATTTGGCTGTAAGTTAAACTCGATCAGGTATTATTGATGTTCTCCGATGTCGTGTTGCTGAACTTAAATCCAGAAATAAAGAATTAGAAAGGGAACTCCTTCATTGCCGAAGAACTTCAAGTCCTAACTCAAATTCCTGGGCTCACATAGGTGGTCCTTGGGAAAAACATTATTGTCTTCCATATGACAGAGATAGCATGCTTATTGGATATAAATATAAACTTAATCCAGACTGGATGCGATTAAATCCTGGAAGAAATCCTGGGTCTCGTCCTCTTAGTTATCAAGAAGAACAGGAAAGAAAGAAATAATAATAACAATAATAATAATGTATAAGAATTTTGTTTTTAAATAAAGAATTATGTAATTTTGAATGAAATAGTTGCTACTAATAAGAGAAATGACATACTGGAGCTAGGGTTTGGCTGGTGGCAAATAATTGGAGCTAGGGTTCTGGCCGATTATTTTGCTGTCATATTTTTTTGTTTTATTAGGAAATCTTGTACCAGCTTCTTTTAATTGGTCTTTTCCACCTTTGAATTTAATTAGAGGTTTGCCTTTTTGACCTTGGTGTTTTGTTTTGTTTAACCTAGCTTCATGAATTCATTACAAGAAATACAGTAGTTGCTGAGTATGCTTTGTGGGCTGGCTGTGATGAAAGAGGAGAGCTTAGTGAGCCCTCTTCATTGCACTGTATTTCTTGCTTGCGTCTTAGTTTTCAGATTTCTTCCTCCACTTCAAGGGTTCAATGATACTTGTGTTTGGGCAAGTTGAGGACTGGGCTATCATGGTATCTACGTCCACATCATATAGCCTGGGTGCTGTATTTTATACAGTAGCTAAAGGATACCTCAAAATTTCAATGTTTCTTAAAAATGTAAAAGTAATAATGATAATAATAAAATAATAAAGTTTTAATAAAATTAAAAGTGTTTATGTGAATAAATAAAAATGAGTATATTATTCGTGTAAAATGAATTGAAAGAATAGTATTAATCACTTTAATAATTTCATAAAATGCTATAGCCTCAAACTTCATCCTGCTACAATTTTGCACTTCATAACTGACCAACCTTTAACCAGCATATGCTATGGATTCCTAAGAATCAAGGTCGTCTACAGCTATGTAATGGCTTTATGAAATTACCCAAGCAAATAATAATATTTTCTCAAGTGAAAAATAAAAAGTAAAACGATATGTATGTTATTAAATACTAATAGGGTGTGGGTAGTTAAAGGTACCGTATAAGAGGTAATTATTAACTTCGCTTTTGTCTTTTATTCGTTTTTGTAGAATCTTGATGGTGTGGCGCGGTTTAATCTCGATGGGCAAGATGTAGGTACGTGTATGCTATCAAGGTAGGTATGTGTATGCATATGGTGTTGGAGTATATGCTAACCATGTCTTGTTTCTTTGGTAGGTTATGCCGTTGCCGTTACGCGACCAATCGCGATGATCGGCGAGGATCGCGGGTCCGTCAAAGTCGGTCTTGATGCGGCTTCGTTGGTTGGTTCGGCGGTGATAAGCTCTTCTGTGGGCTTCTCTTTCTCCTTTCCGTCGTCGTCTACGTCGTACTGCTGGTGGTGGTGGTATCATCATCGTCAGGGGAGCGTGATCGTGATCATGATTATGACGGCATTTATCTTCGGGGTAGTCATTGTCGTTACGGTACTGGATACTTTAATGTCTCGTCGTTATTATATCTTCAACCGTTGATATATAATGTCAAACTCATGGACAGACTTGTTAATCGATGCCTCCAACAACGCGATTCTGTCAAGCAATTCCTGTTCACGACTCGAAGTGGTGGTTGATACGGGTGGTTCGACTATGACGTAGATATGCCTTTTAGGTGAGTTCTTGGTCCAGTCGTCTTCTACGTCTCGAGTTGCCAGAAGTTCATCGTCTAATGTGGGGTTGGCCAATTTGGAATCGTGGTCGTTGCAATAATTCTCCTCGTAATGATCTAATTCGCTATTCCAGCATGCGTCCGAATGCCACCATCGCAGCTGGC